ACTTGTATAGTCTTCCTATCCTGATTATAGTCAATATTATTTTTCTCAGTGTCTACCTTGGAATCGTTAAGCATGTTTTGTGTGTATGTGTGTGTGCATGGGGCGGGGGGGGAGGTGGCGGGGAGGGCGTGGTATTTTGCAGGCTGGCTGTTTTCACAACCCAGTGACTCCCTTCTTGTTTCCGCCCCTGACCTTTGGAAATTTGGCAGTTCTGCTTCCTCTGCTTCTCGGAACCAAACTGGCACCAGGAGGGTTTCTGCCTCAAGTCCTGTCCATATCCACAGCTCTTACTCACGCCGTGTCCCGCCCTCGGGACTCGCATGTCTGCAGGCCATCTGAGGTCTGTCCCGCTGCCCCTCTGACTGCCCTCCTCTTTACTTGCTCCCACGTAATTCTTGCCCGACGGTGGCCGCGTTTAGTAGCCCTCAGTGTGAAACCTGAAAAGTCTGTCTCTCTCTAAGTTTGGTTGAAAATGGAGTTTGCTTTTGAATTCATTCTTCTTGCTGTTGTTTTATGGCTTCCTAGAGACGACGAGAATGCAGACTTCTGCAACCACGCTCATAGCAAAAGTCTTAACGAAGTAATTTTTGGCCCAAAGAACACCCACTGATTTCTGGAACCAGGAGACAATTCAGTCAGTCTTTGAACTCTGTCACACGCAGTTTTATTAGAAACATAGGGGGGATTTTGGAGAGAGGACAGCCGAACTTTGTGTAGTGAAATAGAAACTTGAATTGCCAATATAGAGAGCTTAATTAAGAGATAAGGAAATTCACTCATTCATTAGAAAATAATGGAACGACTGCTTTGTGCGAGGCATCGTGCTAGGCAGTTAGGTGGGGGTTACTGTTGCTGGAGTTAGTCTGATTCACGATTAGAATAGTGTGTTCCCTTAACCTCAGTTTCTTGGGGTAATAAAACCCAACCTTATCTACTTTGCGAAGACGCTGAATTGAGTTTCGATATATGAAAGCACCTGGTGGATTTCGGCTTTTCTGCCAGGGGAATTTGGAGCCGTTATAAACGTTTAAGGAGTAAAGTGTTGTGAACACAAAAATGGGTGGGGCTTGTGTCTGCTTCACCTGAGCCCAGGAAGTCACTGACCGGTACAGAAGAGAGGATGTCAGGTGGCTGTAGCACAGCCAAGGATAAAGATGGTCCGTGACCTTGACAGAGAGTAGTGTACGGGGAGACGCCTCGGGGACTGAGGCAGCAGACGAAAAACGGGAGCAAAGGTGCAACTGACAAACGGAAGCGTAGGGACCAAGAGTCAGGCGGGGCCTGCGGCCAGAGGCTGATGAACGAAGGACGTCCCTGAGGCAAAGATTAGGCCTTCTCATTTCCCCACACCCGGGGGCAATTTTCATTCGTATTAGGGGCCCATTTGCCCCCATTTGCTGCCAGAGTCCCGCTCTGAGACACGGGTTCCTGAAAACAGACTCAGATTCGCATACAGGGGCTTTCGTGGGGAGTCGTCCTATGAGGGCATGAAGGAAGCAAGACTGGACAGCAGGACACACTGAACTGCAACGTGGTTGCATCAGAGGCCCCGGCCGGCCTTGCGGGGGGCTCTGGAATGGGAGAGGCCGCTCAGAGTCCTCCCACGTTAAAGCAGGAGAGCGAGCATTTGCTTCTGCGCGTCACCCAGTAGGAGGCGGGGAGGAGCTGCTCCAGGGAGGACGGTCCTGAGAGGCGACTGGCTCAGAGCTGCCGGCTGTCAATGCTCCTGGCAGCTGGTGTGGCGAGTGCGTCAGTCCCGGACGGGGCTGTGTGGACGGGGCACACCACGGCACCCGCTAGGCCCCTCAAGCCCAGCGGGAGGCAGCTCAAGACTGCTGCCCCTCGGGGCCCTACTTTCCCTTCGGTATCCTCTTCCCTTCTCTGCTGCTGTCCCCCACACCCCCCTACGTGGTCTCTACAAAAACTCCACAAACCTCTCAGCACTCCCTGATCACGGAGTGCCCGTAACCCCACCTACCTTTCATCGGCCTAGAATGTCCTTCCTCACGTCTTTTTTTTTTTTTAATTTTTTAGTGTTTATTTTCAAGAGAGAGGTTCAGAGCATGCGTGGGGGAGGGGCTGAGAGAGAGGGAGACACAGAGACCGAAGCGGGCTCCAGGCTCCGAGCCGTCAGCACGGAGCCCGACGCGGGGCTCGAACTCACAGACTGTGAGATCGTGACCTGAGCCGCAGTCGGACGCTTAACTGACGAAGCCACCCAGGCGCCCTTCCTTCCTCCCTTCTGTTTGTCGAAATCATGCTCCTTCCACAGGCCCGCTTCAACGGCTCGTGGTGTTGTGAACTTTGAAACTGAATCCGTCGCTCCTTCCCCTAAGGTCCCAAGACGTTCTGTTGTGTGTGTCCGGCCTGCGTTACGGTTGCTCTGACGTCTGTCCCTTTTTCAGATTAGAAACCCCACGAGCGCAGGACTTCCTCCTTTATCCTAGTCCCCTCGCCATAACCTAGCATCCTGCCTGGCGCAAAACGGACATCTGCCGCGTCGGAATTAATGGCGTCAGATGCTCCAAATCGTTATGAGGGTTTCTCGAGGAGAACCTCCCCAACGGCGTGAAGAGCCTTTGCCAACGCCCTGTGTTTTCCCTTCTTACTGGAAGCAGGTGAAATGTATTTGTTCAGTAGGATCCGAGTGCCTGCTCTGGGTCACACGTGACAGGGCGGTTGCCTGTTGTTCTTGCTGTTGGGGTAAAATTCACACAGTATAAAGCTAATCTTTCAAAAGCACGCGGTTCAGCGGCCGTCAGTACGGCCCCGGGGCTGTGCTGCCACCACGTCTGTGGTGTGACGTCCCAAAACGTCACCCTGTTTCTATTGTCCCCGCGCAAACGGCACCGAGTCCGCTCCCCGGAAGCTGGGCGTGTTGCCAGCTCCGGTGGGGAGAACGCGTAGCTGGACTCACCTCTGTGTTCCTGCCTTTGTGCAGCAATCGTGCCGGCTTGTTTTTCGTGTTTCTGTCCCCGGAATGGGAAGAAACTTCCTTTGCGGTGTTCCGAGAGGGGCACGTGTGAGTCCGAGCGTCACCAGAGGTTCCAAATCCCCCAGCCCGGGGGGATACTCCCCAGCCTTGGGCCCAGGGAAGGAAGGCCTGACGGACCCGGGCCCACGGGTGACCCCGAGCTCAGGAGGAGGGATGGCAGCGGGGGGTCGACTGCACCCCACCCTGTCTGCCCCCGTGTGCGTGGAGGAGTCGAGGGGCAGCGAAACCCCTGTGACCGGTCCGTCCTTCGGTGCCCTACAATTTCCGTCTCCCTGTGATGAAACAAATACCGTCACAAGCTGTACCAGGAAATACTCCTCCTCTTTCTTTCTGGAATGTATTCGCTTCACAGAGGAAAGGAAACTGAGGCCGAGAGGAAAGGAATGTGTTCAGGCTCACAGGGGAACGCAGGGCCAGATTTGCAGGCCGCTGTCACCAGGCGGAGGGAGGTCTCCTGGGGACGCTGCCCAGGACGTGGGCCGCCTCTCGCTGCTGTCCACCCCCGCATCCCAGTGCCACCTTCCTCACCCCGCGTGTGCACATGTAATGGCTCCCCCCGCCGGGCCGGTCCTCCACACCCACGGCAGCCTGGGTCCCCACCCCCATCGGGAAACCCAACACAAACCGGCTCCGGAGAAAAGGCTCTGGCCGACTATGTACAACTTTATTTTATCTTTGTCTATAAAGGCAACATCGACTTCCCCCTTTAAAATCCCTGTTTTAAAAACACACTTTTTGGAAATGCACCCTTTATACAGGTAGAGCATGTAACAAGGTGTGAACTTACAGAAGCATTTGCAACCGGTGACTCGGTGAATAGTTTGCAAGACAGGTTTTTGTTTTGCGAGGGACTGTAGGTCTCTCCCAACTTGATTAAAGTCTTAATTCTGATTAACTAAGTCTGTAAGAACAGAGATTTAACTTAACGGTGTCGAACGATTAACTACATGATTAAAATGACTTGTGAGAAATGACTCAGTGAAATTTTGAGTCGTCCAAAAGTTAAGAAGGAGGCCGGTATTTTAAAAGAGAGGATGCCGTTTTTCACAACTTTGTAGATGCTTGACACTCCTCTTTATGCCACATCAGTAACAGCTTTTAGTTGCTTATTCTTGCCTCCCTTGACTGCAGGCACTTCACTGTCATACTTTATTAGCCTTGTTATTTTTAGTTTTGAAGGCTCTGTTTGTAAACAAGTTAAAAGCCCCCAAATGCCTGTATCTGCACCTATGTATTACGTGAAATGCGGATATCATCTGTTACCACGAACACAAAACGTGCCCATAAGCGTATGAAAGTATGTTTGAATTTCCACAACTATGTTTGGATTTTTTAATGCCTTGTATTTCACGTTTGGACATCAGACCTTGCTAATGCCTTTGCACCACATCCTCACACTTGGAATCAGCATCGAAAGTTTGGCTTCCATTAACAAATAATCCTTTAAGGTAAAAGAATCAAGACAGAGGTTCATTACTTCACTATCTGTTTCTGCACACACCCGGCTCCATGGGATCCACCATCCTTCAGCTATATTATTAGAAAAACCCTAGGACAGCGTGTCAAAGTTTTCTATATCGTTCCACAAAAGCTAGAAAGTAATTAAAGGGCCCATTTTTCATAGCAAGAAGGAGCGATAGACTCCACCATTCAGTTCTGCGTGGGTCCCCCTAGAGAGCTCCATCAGTGCAGGTTAGAGGGGAACGAATGGTCCTTCCCGCACAGTGTTCTGTGTAACCTCGTTGAGATGCGGGTCAGAATCCTCCTTCTGCTTACTCAGCCCTGCAGGCAAGCCTGGGGGGGGGGGGTGATGCGGGGGCCCGGTGTGCTCTCGCCCCCCACACTCGCAGATGGCAAGAGGAGGAGTTGACCGTGGGGTGAGAGGCCCACGCTCGGCAGTGGATGGAAGTCCTCCCGCCACTGGCTCAGGAACTCTTACTATAATACAGGTTTAAGTAAGCTCTTCCTTTGGGAGGCTTCGCTCCGACTTGCGCCTCTTCGTTGCTCACAGAGCATCGTGGAGATCGTGGTCCCCAGTGGACTGCGTGTAGGACGAGCTGGGAGTGTCGGGGAAGTAGAGCTGGAGGACCCTGCAGTATTGACAGGGCACGAAGGGGCCCCGGCAGGATTTGAAGAGCTGTACGAGGTACTTGCGGAATTTCTCCCCGAGGAAGAAGTAGATGACCGGGTTGAGGCAGCAGTGAACGAAAGCCAGGGTCTCCGTGGCCTGAATGGCATAGTCCAGGTGCCTCTCAAAGGTGCAATCCTGAAGGACCTCCAGCTCCACCAGGGTCTCCAGGAAGAGCACCACGTTGTAAGGCGCCCAGAAACCCAGGAAGAGGGCCACCACGGCAAAGACCATCCTCACCGCCTTGCTTTTCTTCTCGTTTTTGCAGTGCTGCAGGGTCCTGATGATCATGGAGTAGCAGAACAGCATGGTGCCCAAGGGGATCACCAACCCCAGAATGTTGATCTCCAGGGAGCTCAGCACCTTCCACCTCGTGGAGTTGAGAGAGTACTTGGTTTTGCAGTAGGTGTGGTTGCGCTCCGTGTAACAGGTGCTGAATAAGAAGCCTGGAAGAGAGGCCAGCACGGCCACGGACCACGTGGCCAAGCTGGTGATGACCCCGTAAGTCAAGGTCCTCGCTCTCAAGGAAAACACCGCGTGCACTATCGCCAGGTATCTGTCGATGCTCATGAGCATGACGAAGAAGATGCCACTGTAAAAGCCCACCAAGTACATCCAGGAAATAATCTTGCAGAGACCCAGTCCAAAAACCCACTGGTCTGCAGCATAGTAGCCCCAGAAAGGGAGGGAGAACACGAAGAGCAGGTCTGAGATGGCGAGGTTGAGCAGGTACACGTCAGTCATGGACTTGAGCCTCTTGTACTTGAACAAGACCAAAACTACCACAGAATTGCCCAGGAGACCGAACAGAAAGACCAAGGAGTAGAGAGGGGGCAGGAAGAGCCCCCCGAACGCCTTGACGCCTTCTTTGGTGCAAGGCTTGGGGATGTTTTCATAGAGATAGTAATTGTGATAGATGCTTTCATCCATGGTGGTGTCTGCTGTGTCCGTGGGGTTCATTTTCAAATCTCCAGGCTCCTCGACGCAGGTCTGAGCCCAACCAGAAGCTAATGAGGGAAGAGCAGACGCGATCTCTGTAGGAACAAAAGCAAGTCGAAAAGGTGCTGACTACGGAGCATAGTGCTGAGTATTGTGCCCCGGCTCATGACACCCCCTTCCCAGCCTTCCCAAGTTGAAGGGCTCTGTTCCTCACAGGGCAGTGCAGCCAAATAAAACAATCCTGCTGTTTGGAGTTAGCAGATTCCAAGTCCTAGCTCTGTCACTCCCCTCCTGCTCTGGGGGGGGTGGGGGGTGGCGGGCTTGAATCCCCACGCTTGTACATGGGGACAGTAAAACCTCCTTCTCAAGGAGGCATTTTCAAGGATGCATTTCGAAACGATAGTCTGGGGTTACTGAATCACCTGCAGGACCGTTGAGATTCCCAACAGCCCCACACCCATAGCCGTCTTAGTGACTTAAAAGCAAAACAAAAACAAAACAGAAAGATTGAAAATCTGTGCATGTTTCCCCTTCACATTAGAACTCCAAAAATTCAGTAATTGCTTAGGTAATCATTGGGCTAGAAGGGTGGCTCGGATTTTACATAAAAATTCCAATTCCTCCTGCAAGCTTGACATACATTTCGAAGCGTGCTCCCTGGTATTGTGCATTTAATCCCACTCCCCTGCTCCTGCCTGCCCCCCCCCCCCCCCCCCCCCCACCGCACTCCCAACAAAGTCGGGTGCTCTAAGCCAAGCAAGTGTACTGAGCCACGGTGCAGGTGCCTCACGAAAGCTTCAGAGAGGTTAAGCGACTTCTGAAGGCCACACAGTTGCATGCAGAGCTCCTTCTTTGGTCCCCAGATCCCAGTGACGTGCCGGCACACCATGTCCGGGGAGGTCAGGAGGGGGCTCTGACTTCTGGTGCTTGCTGGAGTCTCTCGTGCAAACACTTGCCCCAGGGCGAAACCCCAGCCACCAACGGCCTCGCGAAATTCCCGAATCTCTAACAGCCTTTACCAGCCCCTGGGAGTCGGTGCAAGTCGGCTCTGGTACGCGCTCCCAAGTCCCACGCCATCCTAGAACACCATCTTCGATGGGAACGCACCTGGCCTCCCGGGCCTGGTGGCGAGCTGCTCCCGGGCCAGTCGGACGCTAACGCAGCAGATGCGTGTAGAAGGCCCCGCGAATGTGGGAGCACTCAGGTAATTGCGCTGTACTCAGACGGCAATGCGAGCCGGTCTTTTCGTCAACGCTGCACGCAAAAAATCAGTCCCGCGCACTGAATCCTAGCACTGATTCCCTAGTGGGAATCAGCCTGACAGATCTCGAGAAGGCACATCATGGCCAGAAATGAAATCTCTCTGCTTCCCCAAACACCCTCCTTTCCTATGCAAATTGGCAGGTGAAGAGGTTGAGACCTTAAAGTTACATGCGTGCTCACATGCGGATCAGAGCAATTTAGGGATGACGGGCTTTCTGACTCAAGGCTACTCCTCTTCCTTTTTTTTTTTTTTTGTAAAGATTTTATTTTTTTTTAAGTCATCTCTACACCCAATGTGGGGCTTGGAACTCCCAACCCTGAGATCAAGAGTCACACGCTCTACGGACTGAGCGAGCCAGGCACCCCCTCTTGCCTCCTTAATGGCCCCCAATATTCCTGATCACAGCCCTTTCACATTGTTCAGTAACTCACATCTACTCCCTACCTTTTTCACCCCTTACCACCACACACCCACACACTCCAACCATATTTGGTTTCTCAAGAGAGGGATTTGAGTTTACTTCTGCAAACAGATGCAGAGGCATCTGAAGGATCTTGGAGAAAGTGTTGTACGATGACTATCAATCCTAGTTCAATAAATGACAATCCCGGTCTCTCTCCGCCATTTTACCAGTGAAAACGGAAGGAATAGAAGAGGCTGAGGAGTTGGGAAATTGCCAGAACAAGACAAGTAAACACAGCTGGTAGATGTTGGGGATTATTCCGTCAGCCTCATTTGATTTGTTGGTGTTTCTTGACCTGGGAGTCCTGATAGAAGCAAGCAGCAGAAAAAACTGTGTGATAAAAATTATCTGTGTCTTCTGAGCGTGTGGATTCGGGCCAGAGGTGTGCAGGGAGAGAGCCCCGCATATGTAAGTGCCCATCAGGCAAGGGCTTGGGGGGTGTAAGTAGATGGGATGTGAGCTCTGAGCTGAGAGCCAGCAGCGAGCCCCAGGATACCCGGGAAGCCTGAGTTGCAGGCACTGGGTGAGCGGCTGGCCTGCTCTCAGCACTTCCAAAGTCCACACAGCCTTCTAGAAAGCAGTGCGTGGCCTGAGGCCCCAGGAACGGCCCCGTCCCCACTTACCTTGCTTGTCCGACAGTGGTTCTGGGCAAGGTCCGTGAGTCAGTGCCAGGCTTGTGCGAGAAGCTGAGCGCTAAGAAGGATGCCTTTGAAGGCGCGTGGCTTCCTGTGAGTGTCAGCTCTGTCCCTCACCCATCTACGCTGAGTTCAAGTGGGTTTTTTTTTTTTCTGATAGAAGTGAGCAGAAAGTGAGTGACTCGTAGTCACTTCCCCAAACTGAAAGCTAAGAAGGTTTGCTGTCTGCTAGATCAAAGAGGAAAATGAAGTCAGTTTTCTTTTAAAAGAGAAACATTGTTACGTTTTTAAAAGTGTAGTCGTTGGATTTTTAATGTAAAGAATTTCCTTGCGTAGAAATGATCTTTATGTTCTGGATCGGTGAGCTGTTTGTTATTTGCCCGTGGTGGGTATGCGATGGCAAAGCGGCCGTGATGTGCCGATCCTCAAACAGGTGGGATCTGAGGGGGTCGGGGTGGGGGGAGGCCAGATCCATGCAAGAAGGGTCATCAGAGAAACATGTATCCAGATGCGTGTGTCTCAGAGGGCTTTAGTCAACCCCGCTCAATAACTTGTGTAGAGTGAGGGCCAACATAGCTTCAAGCCCCCTTTGCAGAAGGAGGACCCCTCCCCAGGCCCCTCCACCTAGAAATCGAGGAGCTTCCACAGACAGTGATCTCGGCAGAGTCCCTCTGGGTTTGTGTAGCAGTCACAGCTGAGGGGCTGACATCAGTCCTAAGTCTTTTGAGTATCATATCCTCAACTTCTGCCAGCTTCCAGTGCTTTCCCTCTGTATGTCTACAGTTGCTTAACCCTTAGGTCTGGCTTAAAAGAGCCACAATGTCAGGGCCCCTGGGTGGCTCAGTCCATTAAGTGACGGACCTCGGCTCAGGTCATGATCTCACAATTCGTGGGGTCGAGCCCCGCGTCGGGCTCTGTGCTGACAGCTCAGAATCTGGAGCCTGGATTCTGTGTCTCCCTCTCTCTCTCTCTACCCCTCCCCCACTCATGCTCTGGGTGGCTCAGTCGGTTAAGCATCCGACTTTGGCTCAGGTCATGATCTCACCGTTTCCAAGTTCGAGCCCCATGTCTGGCTCTGTGCTGACAGAGCCTGGAGCCTGCTTTCAGATTCTGTATCTCCCTCTCTCTCTGCCTTTCCCCCACTTGTGCTCTGTCTCTCTCTCTCTCTCTCTCTCTCTCAAAAATCAATAAACATTAAAAAAATTTTTTAATTAAAAAAAAGCCACAATGTCATTTTTCCTAAGGAATTTGCATGAATAGGAACTAAAATATTGAGCCAGAACAGTGTTTTATTGCCCTTTCATTATTACCCCTCCTAAAGAGTCTTTTCAGATATTTTTTTCCTAATCATCTCCCCATGAAATTTTAATACCACAGCCCAACTATATATCGTTATGTAGTATGTGTACAACAATGCTTTATATATAAAAAGAGTAAGCTTATTTTCATCCCCAAGAACCAATTTTTGCATCCTTGAGGGCAATACTGCCTTTACTAAGAATGCATGAGATAGCCAGTGGTTTCCCAGGGGTTCTTTGCCCCCAGGGCACCTGGCCAGTATCTGGAGACATCTTCTCTGGGGATCGGAGGAGTTCTTCCTGGCTCCTAACAAGAAGAGGCCAGGAACCCTGCTGAAATCCCACACGGCGTAGGACAGCCCTCCACAGCGAAGCTCTCCTGCCCACAATGCTAACAGTGCCGAGGCTGAGAGAGCGGAACGAGGGCAGCATCCCCGGACCCTGAGAGAGAGCACCGATCCGTGGCCGAATTGGGGAACTCTGGGCTTGAGTTCAGGTGAAACACGGTTCCTTACTGGCGCACTTTTTGGGGGCTTCCCAAGGCCAATCTTGTGAACTCTGGAAGCAGATAGAAAAAAAAAAAAAACCAGTCCCTAACCTATTTGATGGGTGAGTCTATGCCCGTTATACAGGGTAACTTATAGAATAAACACAGTTTTGGGTCCCGTCACCCTCTTTCTCTTCAGCGGTTTGCTGGTGGACGCCTTGTGGCAGAGATTACGGGTCTTTGCGAAGACCCTAGTGGGCAAGACCATCACCCTCAAGGCCGGGCCCAGCGACAGCACTGAGAATCAAAAACCGAAGTCCGAGACAAGGAGGGCATCCCGCCTGAGCAGCAGCTTCGGGTTTTTGCGAGCAGATGGCTAGAGGATGGCCTCACCCTCTCAGCCTACAGTAGCCAGGAGGGGGCCACCTCGCACTTGGTGCTTCACCTGTGCGGTGGCATCCCTGCACCTCCCCTCCGCCGGCTGGCCCTGGCCCGGAAATACAACTGGGGCAAGGTGACCCGCCACAAAGGTTCTGTTCACCTGCACCCCCGCGCTCTCACCTGCCGCAACACCAACAACCTGCACCCCGCGAAGGTCAAAGGAGGGCCCTCCACCGGTCCTTCCTCTGCCGGCAGGGCGGCCTCCTGCCCAGGCCCCAAGGCTCTGGGGCCTCAGGAAAGTTTCCCTTTCATTGACGTGAGCAGCAAAAGCAAAACAAAACCCATAATTTTAGAAATGCGGAGCCAGAGGAAGCTTCTATCACGGAATCACAGGCCCGGAGGGACAAGTCAGAGAGCCCAGGGCGCAGTGTGTGAATTGCGACAGCCCTGGATGAGCCCATCTGAGCACCCTGCCTCCAGGGTCTGGCCGGGGGGAGGAGCGTTGGGG